CCAAGCGTCTATCAATTTTGTTTGACACATTACCGCTAGAGTACGTTGTTTACATAATATAGCATTGAGCATAGGCAGTACGCCCATTTGTATATGACAATTAGGAAGGATTGTTTTGGCAATCCAAGAGTTGTTAGTTATATATTTCACTTCATGGTTATTCATTGTCAATTGCAAAATCGCCGTCGTCCCCACACAAAATTGTGTAGTACACATCAGCAGTGTAACCTTCATCTGCATCAGTTGCAATCACTTGGACGGTTTTGACGTGATACTGTACATTTTCCTCAACAAAGCCATTGAAGTGACTTTCAGTGAATGTAGACGTGTTGTCATTGAAATCGATAACTATGATGTCTACAGGAACAGTACTATTCTGTGGTTCTTCCCCATTGTCTGTGGCCTGTGAACAATATATTTAAAATAATCTGACATTGCAGTGTTTAATTTTGCATCAATTTTGAGTCATGTGGTTTCAGAAATGTGAAATTCTTTCCACTAGAATGCATCAATTGAAAAATGTTGATGACGTCAACGTATGGTAAAATGCAGCATTGTGTGGAGTTTTCGACCACATGAACATGAACACTTCGATGTAAGACAGTAACAAATGCTAATCAGAAACAAATGCCACAGTAACTATGATGTCTACAAAAACGGTACTATTCTGTGGTTCTTCGCCATTATCTGTGGTCTGTAAAGAATATTTTAAAATAATCTGACATTGTAATGCTCAATTTTACAAAACATTTAGTCATACTGTTTTAGAAATGAGGAATTAATTCTCTCAAAATGCATTAGTATAAACATGTTAATAACGTCTACGAATGGTTCATTGCAGCTCACGTGGAGACACAACCAATTTCGGCTAAGATATAGACAAAAGCTAATTAGAAACAAATGCGACAGTTTAAGCAATACATACCATAACTGTTAACGTATACAAAGCAATTTCTTTACTGTCAATGTTACATACAGCATATATTGTTCCATTCGAATCGATGAAGAACTCACCTAATAGAGATGTGTACTAAAGTAAATTATCCACCAATAAACAACATACCATTATGTCCATATGTTATGCTGTACGTTATTTCAGCATTGGGACCCGTATCTGCATATGTTGCTATTACAGTCACTATGGCAACATACGTTGTATAATTTCATCTCATCTACTTCGCCGCTGTAAGACGGTCTGTCTTATATTGAACTGTTGTCATTGGTATTATTAACCAGAATATTTACCTGTTATAATCAGATTCAAAGTCGTCTATTAAACACTTCCATGTGGTAAAACTGTCCTACTTAAATATTAGTATTTGAAAAAAAATACCAAAGTGTAGCCCTCGTAACAATCTCTATCATGATCACTAGTCGCCACAGATAATGAATACATTGCTTCTCGCTCCCTGTCCAACTTCATAACAGTGAAGATTTCACCTTTTTGATCAAATTACGAGACGTATAGTAAATTTGCATTCATTTTCAATATACAACTTGCATAATGCAAGCAAGCACGCACGCTATGCACTGTACCGCGACCCCTTAATGGAAGAATAACAAGTGTATAACATGTGTACATACCGTTGTTGGGTTGATCACAAACTCGTTCACATG